CGCCCTCATGACCAGCGCGTGGCCTTCATGCTGCCAGCGCCTTCATCCTCGGGTTCCAACATTCATACGGAAGCCCTCGGTCATGAGCCCTCAGCGAATGGACTTCATGTCATCGCCCTCATGACCAGCGCGTGGCCTTCATGCTGCCAGCGCCTTCATCCTCGGGTTCCAACATTCCTACGGAAGCCCTCAGTCATGAGCCCTCAGCGTATGGCCTTCATGCCATCGCCCTCATGACCAGCGCTTGGCCTTCATGTCAGCGCCTCCATCCTCGGGTTTCAACCCTCAGACGGAAGCTTTCAGTCATGAGCCCTCAGCGCATGGCCTTCATGCCATCGCCCTCATGACCAGCGTCTGGCCATCATGCCAGCTCCTTTATCATAGGGTTCCAACATTCGTACGGAAGCCCTTGGTCATGAGCCCTCAGTGCGTGGCCTTCATGCCACCGCCCTCATGACCAGCGCCTGGCCCTCATGCCAGCGCCTTCATCATCGGGTTCCAACATTCATGCGGAAGCCCTTAGTCATGAGCCCTCAGCGTGTGGCCTTCATGCCACCGCCCTCATGACCAGCGCCTGGCCCTCATGCTAGTGCCTTCATCATTGGGTTCCAACATTCATGCGGAAGCCCTTGGTCATGAACGCGTGTCCTTCATGCCACTGCCCTCATGACCAACGCCTGGCCCTCATGCCAGCGCCTTCATCCTCGGGTTCCAACCTCTAAACGGAAGCCCTCAGTCATGATCCCTCAGCGCATGGCCTTCATGCCTTCGCCCCCATGACCAGTGCCTGGTCCTCATGCTAGCGCCTTCATCCTCAGGTTCTAACCATCAGACGGAAGCTCCCGCTCATGAGTCCTCAACGCGTGGCCTTCATGCCATCGCGCTCATGGCCATCACGGCAGACCCCCTGGTCTCAACGTGATCATCTGTCTCACGACCGGCCTCATCCCCTCACTTCATGGATGAGGACCGTTGCATGGATTTCAGGATCGGCCCGTCAGCGTCGACATCCTTGCATCACGGCAGACCCCTTGGTCTCAACGTGATCATTCATCCGGTGACACGGCAGACCCCTTGGTCTCAACGTGATCATCTTTCTGAAGACCGGCCTCATCCCCTCACTTCATGGATGAGGACCGTTGCATGGACTTCGGACTGGCCCCTCAATGCTGCCGTTCTTGCATCACGGCAGACCCCTTGGTCTCAACGTGATCGTTCATCCGATGACACGGCAGACCCCTTGGTCTCAACGTGATCATCTTTTTGAAGACCGGTCTCCTCCTCCCACTCCAAGGATGAGGACCGTTGCTGGATTTCGGACTGGCCCCTCCATGCCGCCGTTCGTGCATCACGGCAGACCCCTTGGTCTCAACGTGATCATCTTTCTGAAGACCCTCATCCTCGGCAGTACCTCTTGGTACCCCTCGGCAGTACCTCTCGGTACCCCTCGGCGGTACCTCTCGGCACCCATCGGCAGTACCTCTTGGTACCCCTCGGCAGTACCTCTCGGTACCCCTCGGCGGCACCTCTCGGTACCCCTCCACAGTACCTCTCGGTACCCCTCGGCAGTACCTCTCGGTACCTCTCGGCCATGAAACCTCCCGCCATACATGAATCCTTCGGGTAACATTCCAACGGCTATATTGCGAAGTGGCCTCAGCCAGCACCCTTCGGCACACAGGCAATAGTTTCCTTCAAGTTCCTATGCCTTCGAGCATGCAACAGTATACGCCTTTGGTTTGTCAATGTTGCACCCTCAAGTGATCATCTCCGGTTGTCACCTACTATAGCCTTCGGGGAACAACTCTCACCAAATGCCTTCGAGAATGCAGCAGCATAAGCCTTCGCCTTGTCAATGTTCCGTCCTCGAGCATGTAGGAGCATAAGCCTTCGGCTTATCAATGTTGCACCCCCAAGTGTCTGCCTCCGGCTGCCACCTATTATGGTCTTCGGTGAACAACTCTCACCAGAACCCTTCAAGAATTCAGCAGTATAAGCCTTCGGCTTGTCAATGTTGTCACTCATCAATGCATACTTGGATGATAGCCTTCGAGCAGATAGCAGTATAAGCCTTCGCCTTGTCAATGTTGCCACTCATCAATGCATACTTGGATGATAGCCTTCGAGCAGGCAGCAGTATAAGCCTTTGGCTTGTCAATGTTGCCACCCCTCGGGAGCTCATCAACACATCATAACTCCTTCAGCCCGAACTTGCCTTCGACCTAAAGGAGTGAGGGACTGGGATACACCCCTCGGGAATCACACATGACTAAAAACAAAAATTCCCACATGCAAGAAATCTACAAATAACGCATGTAGCCCTCGGGTACATACACCATTACACCCTTCGGCAAAGCAGAATGTCAGAAACTTTCCACAAAGTCAGTGACAATGATGAAGCAGCCTTCATCACAACACATACAGATATTATTTACGCTTCCCTCAGAAAACCCTCGACATGTGGGGGAGTAAGGGAAGCCTTCGGCTAACAGCAGAAGATAAGTGATCAGTCAAAGGCACCCAACAAAACGATGAAGCTTTCGGGAGAATCAACACAATTACTCATTTTCCCTCAAGTACCTTTCGGCAAAAGGAGTGAGGGACTCCTGATGGAGTATATGGCCCGGGAACCCCCGGCCCACAGACTCCTACTAATCTATCACAAGCCCAACAAGCCCAAGGAGCTCAGGAGGCCCAAGATTTGGCGGCCCAAGCGTCAAGAAGCCCACAATACACACAGGGATGCCTTTGGCCTCCTTGGCCGAAGGCTCCAAAACTCACAGAACCGCCATATTCGACCATGCGAAGCTACTGGGAGAAAATGACAGAAAACAGGAGCCTTCGGCACTGTGGAGCCCTCGACACCAGGGGGAAGCCCTCGGCTGAACCAAGCCTTCGGCTACACAGGGAGCCTTCGGCCATACATGGAGCCTTCGGCCACACATGGAGCCTTCGGCCACACATGGAGCCTTCGGCCATACATAAAGCCTTCGGCCATACATGAAGCCCTCGGCCATACATCAAGCCTTCGGCCATACATGAAGCCCTCAGCCATACATCAAGCCTTCGGCCATACATGAAGCCCTCAGCCATACATCAAGCCTTCGGCCATACATGAAGCCTTCGGCCATACATGAAGCCCTCGGCCATACATGAAGCCCTCAGCCATACATGAAGCCTTCGGCCACACAGTGCCTTCGTCCACACAAAGCCCTCGGCTACGCGAGGAGCCTTCGGCTAAACGGACTCAATCATCGAAGATTCCCTTTGGAGACAGCCAACCACCGCATTTAATGCGACGTCACATCCACCCACCGCATTTAATGTGGGGAACGTGCGATGGTCGGTGCCACCCCAATTGATGTGACCCCTCGGCCGTTGGATTACTGACACGCGTACTCTCATCACATTTATTGCTGCTATAAATAGCAACCCTTATTCTCCTTGTAAACCACGCTGAGTTCATTTAATAAATCGACTCTCTCTCCTCCTATTTACTCTGACTTCTCTCTAAGTTATTCCCGCAATAATCCTTCGGATAGGACACCCCCCCCGGGTAGACTATCCATCAAATGGCTTATTTGTTCCTTTTTCCTTTAATTAATTAGATTAAGGGCAAGAAATTAATGTTTAGTCCTACAATCCTATTTATGAAAGGTTTATGTTTTCTCCGGCCTATTTGTGCAATTGTGTTTACATTTAGTATGATTTTACTTGGATAGAAACTTGCTAGTCTGGTCTGGTATGTTTAAGTTTGGTCTTGTCTGGCTTGAATTGGTCTGGTCTGGCCTGTCTTTGTACTTTATAAATAAATTATAAAGTAACGTTGGACTTTTTACACTATTCACATGTTCTACTTTGACTCTATTTTATTTATTAATGTATTATAAATTAAATTTTTAAAAAATATTGTTAAATTTCTATCACTTTAAATTTTCATAATCTAATTTTTTAAATTTTTTTACTAATAAGGAATGGAAGATATTAATGGTCAAACTTGTGCGTTGGCAAACGTGAAAAGTGGACCGTTGCAATTAAAAAAGAACGGATGAAGTATTTAAAATAGTTTTATTAATAAAATAAAGAAAAAAATATATGAAAAATAGCTAAAATAATCGTCTAAACCATTGTTCTAAAACTCGCTAGGCGCTAGTCGGGCGGTAGAGGGGCGCCTAGCGCCTAGGCGGCCGACTAGGCCGATTTTTCGGTCGACTAGGCCGATTTTTTGGCCGACTAGACCGACTAGGACTCTACGGTTAGGGCCGCCTAGGCCGCCTAGGCCGATTAATCGGTCCGCCTAGGCCGATTTTTAGAACAATGGTCTAAACTAACTTCAGCCAATACGATTTGAAAAGTGACTTCAACCTTATTTTATCTTTTTATTACGGAGTACACAATTTAGCGCGCGAAATCAAAATTTGTGTGTTTGGTCTGGTCGAAAAATAAAGTTACGAAACGGGGTCTTAAACTACTTCTAATTCGAGTCTATATAGTCAACATTCTTATCAAGCCCTCCCTCCGACCCTTTTTATCTAGCCGAACACTATTTTCCAAGTCAATGATGTTCAACTTTGACCGATTATATATTTATACACGATAATATTGATAATATGAAAATAATATAGAAATAATCTTGGTTAAAAGTACTATTATAAAAGTATAAGTTTGTTAAGTTTCACATAAATATATTAATTAAAATAATAGATCAAAGTTTATCGTACTTGTGGAAAAAGTCAAAGATAGCTATTATAATATCATCACATAGACACAGAGTTTTTTTCCGTAATAATGTTAATTAATTAATTAATTACGAAAATAGGGTTGGGTTAAAAGTATTTACCAAAATACTGCTGGGTTAACCATGGTCGGGGTAAGTCGCCCAACGGTTGGGCGACTTATAAGTCGCCAAATGGTTTGGCGACTTATAAGTCGCCCAACCGTTGGGCGACTTACCCCTTAAGTAAAAACGGGGGCGACCACAAACAGAACGCAGATATACCATTAGCCCCAATTGAACTGAGCTGCTGCGACGGACGAAGAAGACGACCGACGAACCTCCATCTCCAACTCCGGCGCTCCTCCATCTCCGGCGACCCCACTCCGGCAACCCTCCATCTTCATCTTCAACACTCTTTACTCCTTATTCTAGGTAAATCCAAATCCATTTCATATAATTTTGCACTTAGGGTTTAGAATGTTATTTTTTTTTTTTAATTTTGGGATTATGAATTGATTGTGAATGAAGTTGTTGTGAAATGTGGATATGTATGAAATGTTGAAATTTGATTTTAAATTGTTTGTAAATTGTAATGTGTATTTTGACATTTGGGCATTTGGGTATAGTTGAAAGTACCTAAATTTGGGTATTCAAAGGTAGACATTGAATGTAGATATCAAAATTTGGGTAGTTTGTTATTGAAATGTGAATTGTTTGTGAATTTGGAGTTAATGATATATTACAATTTTGGAAGCAATTTCTATTAAAAATGTGAATGTGTATAAAGTGTGTATATTGATGCGTACTCATGAATGTTGGACAATGAGTTGTTATTAGAATATGGATTTCTCAAGCTTCCCACTCGTGTGTCATTGGGGAGGGAACTATTATGAGAATGGTGGGCAAATATGCCATGAAGGTGGCAGAACGAGCTTTGTCATGGTTTCTCGTGGCGCTTGCATGCTCGAGATCCTTCAAAAAATACATGCAGCCACAATGATTCATCCCGGCCGTTCATTGCGGTTGAAAATGAAATTTCCCATGAACGGGGGAAAGTACATGCTTATGCCGCTCATTGATGAGCTAGCTATAACAAATATGTGGGGCATAATTCAGATGGAGGATATGTCAACGCTGGAGATATACATTGAAGAATCTTCTGACACTTATGGTACTCAATCAACATCACATGCTGTTGTATCCAGGCATGATGTCATTGCAGGGGTGAATGCACGGAAGTCGTCAAATGTTCCTGTACTAGACATGGTTATACAGGAGGATGGCAGGTATTTGCACAACGGTGCGTCATTTGTGGATGGGCAGGGAAGTGATGATGATGCAGACGAGAACATCAATGGTGACGACATGACAGAATCTGATGAAGATGATGGTGATACTGTGACATCAACTGCCCCGTCTAGCCACTTCACTAGAATGTATGATCTCCCTGAAGGTTTTACTGATGCGTGGATGAGTGGATCAGGTGAGAAAAGGTTTACCCCCGATGGTGAGTTTGAGGTCGGTCAACAGTTTGACAACAAAGAACAAGTCATCAATATGGTGAGCTTGTATTCTATCAAACGGAACCAATTCTATCGGGTGATAGAGTCCGACAAACACAAATGGGTGGCACAATGCAAAAGGAAGAAAGAATGTCAATGCCCCTGGAGAATACGCGCCACAAAGAACAAAGGCAACCTTGACACCTTCACAATTGTGCGTTATTCTGGACCTCATTCTGCTTCTTGTGTAGGCAACATCGACACTACAGATCACGTGGCCTTGACATCAGAATTCATCTGTAAAGATGTGGTTGACATTATTCGCACTGATCCTTCTCTTAAAGTGCATACTATCATCGAGATGTTGAAGGAAAAATATGGGTATACGGTATCTTACCGGAGAACATGGATGGGGAAGCAAAAGGCCATAGCACAAATATTTGGCGGTTGGGAAAAGTCATATTTCGAATTGCCCCGTTTCATGACAGCGCTCCAACATTCTAATCCAGGAACTGTTGTTCAGTGGTACCCACCCCCCAATGGTGCGACAGGTTATATGATGTTTCAAAGAGTTTTTTGGGCATTCAAGGCATCAATATCTGGTTTTAAGCATTGTCGACCCGTACTTACTATTGATGGCACACACATGTATGGAAAGTACAAGGGCACATTGCTCGTGGCCATGGGTTGTGATGCGAACAACCAAATTTTCCCAGTCGCCTTTGCAGTTGTTGAATCCGAGAATGGAGACAGTTGGCCATGGTTTATGGCATGTATTAGGCATTTTGTGACTAACAGGGAGTTGTGTGTCATTTCAGATAGACATGGAGGTATTGTTAGGGCAATGAATGAGGTTGGAAGTAATTGGGAGGAGCCTTATGCGCATCATAGGCTATGCATCCGTCATCTTGCTTCAAATGTGCACACTCATTTCAAAGACATTCATTTAAAAAATCTATTTGTGTGGACCGCACGGCAACATCAGAAAAAAAAATTTGATGGTGGGTTCAAGAAGATAGGTGAAATGAGTAGGGATGCACGACAATTTTTGGCCAACATTCCACCAGAAATGTGGTCGCTGCACCATGATGGCGGGTACAGATACGGTACCATCACTTCAAATCTGGCTGAGGTTTTCAATAGCGTCATGAAAAATGCTAGATATTTGCCCATTACCGCCTTGGTCCAGGTGTCTTTTTACCGGGTTAATGCGTACTTTGTGAATAGGCGTGAAACTAGTAAGTTGAGGCTCACACAAGGCCACGAGTACTCCCCATACATCACAGATTTAATTGAAAAAAATAGAGAGAAGGCAAAGCATCACATTGTCACTCCTTTTGATTTAGGGCGAGGTATATTTCAGGTGGAGACAGGTTGTGGTGGCAGAACGTTGGGAAAGGGTGGGAGAAAACAAACTGTCCATCTACAACGGAAAACGTGCACTTGCAAAAAGATGGAGATATACAAGATTCCTTGCTCCCATGTATTAGCCGTGTGTAGACAACGTAGTTTGTCTTATGCTCCATTTGTGGATAAGTTCTTCTCTTCTGACCAATACGCCGCCACGTATCATAGGGTGTTCAAACCGATTCCTGATCGTGATTATTGGCCAAATTACAATGGACCCGAAATCGTGCACGATCCATCCATGCTTCGGGCAAAGGGAAGACCAAAGTCGACCCGTATTAAGAATGAGATGGATGAAGGCCCACGAGGAACGGTTAGATGTGGAAGATGCCACCAAACCGGCCATAATAGAGCGACATGTGCAAAGAGATCATCTAGACAAGAGGGGGGGTCCGCCGGGTATGTGTATATTTAGAGTCAATCATAATTCGTTATTTCCTTGCAAGGAAAATTAATAAATTCAAAAAAGGAAGTTAAAAAAATGTAATACATTATACAATTACAACTAATACAATTAGAACTAATACAAATTTTGTTTGTAGGCATGGAGGTGATAGCGGATCCTGGGCCGAGTGATCCTTCTGTCCTGACACTGCAGGCCTCACACAGGAGTGAGGATGTTTGGCTTGGCATGGATGTGCAGGTTGATAGGTGCCGCGAGCATCTGCGGGGTTTGTCCCATTTACATGTCGACCCCAGAGTCCTAGCATATGTTCGTGCAACAGGTTTTTTTACACTGCACAGGTTAGTGGCTACTGTGCCTTTAGATAGAGCCCTCCTCACTGCTCTACTTGAGCGTTGGAGGCAGGAGACACATTCATTTCACCTCCCTGTTGGTGAGGTCACTGTGACATTGGGAGATGTGGCTGTACTGACTGGGTTAGAGGTTGATGGGAGAGCTGTTACAGGCACTGCTTGTCGACAGTGGGTGGATGAGTGTGAGAGGTTGTTAGGCATCCGCCCCGTTCTTAGGGCTGACCTTCAGGGGTCATCTCTTAGGATGCCATGGTTGAGGGAGCACTTCCAGGCCCTTCCTCCCGACGCTGATGAGATGATCATCCAGCAGCATGCTCGGGCGTATATATTGATGATGATGGGAGCCTCCATTTTCGCTGACAAGAGCGGAAATGAGGTTCAGGTGCTACACCTGCCTTTGCTGGAGAGGTTTGATGTAGCAGCACAGTTTAGCTGGGGTAGTGCCACCCTGGCTTATCTCTACAGGCAGCTGTGTCGCGGGTGCCAGAGAGGGAGCACAGAGCTGGGGGGATTTTTGCTACTCCTCCAGATTTGGTCATGGGAGTATATCCACATTGGTCGTCCCATTATAGTTGGATATCATGGCATTGATGGACAGCCTCTGCCTGATGAGCCTCCACGTCTGCTAGGACCACATCATGTACGGGGCGTGGACCCTCTAGGCCGTCGGTATGTTTTCAATTGTTTGTATTTGTGTTAGTTTTTGTTGAATGTAAATGCATTAATAAAATCCATATTATTGATATTGTAACATTAATGGTTAGGTGGCTATATGCTGGTTTATCTCGCATGTCATCCGCTACTGGCCTCGGTGTGTACAGGGATGCATTGGATCGGATGTCTGAGGACCAGGTATGGTGTGTGTAGTATAACAGTAACTAGAATAGGTGTAGAATAAATACTAATTTTGTATGTTTACGAAACAGATCACATGGATGCCGTATAGACCTGATATGTTAGCAGAGTTGCCCCCAGCTGGACGAGAGCAGACTCACATATGGCGAGCACGTGTGCCGCTGATATGTTTTGACATTGTTGAGCTTCATTTGCCTGATAGAGTCATGCGACAGTTTGGGTTTCAGCAGGTCATTCCCCGTCCTATCGACACTTATGTAGAGTTGCATAAGCTGGATAGGCGTGGGAAGCATACAGAGGATTGGGCACTCAGACATGTCCGATACGTGACTATGTGGGATAGGAGAGCTGAGCTAGCCGTGGCTGGGACACCCACATATGTGCCATCAGTTTCAGGAGATTACATGGGATGGTACTACAGCATCACTCGGTTGTTTGTGTCTCCTTCGTTCAGACTCCCTACTCATCATTATCAGCCTAGCTCATTGGCATTGCATCTTACGGTGAGTATATTACTAATTAGTAAAGTAAGTCATTTTATTTATGTAATACTTGTATGTATTTGAATGTAATTGTAATTGTGTTTCGTATTGCAGACCCGAGCTTTGCAGCGCATACATCAGCGGGCTACTGCCACTGTGACTGATATTCCTGATGTGGACATGTATGGACAGACTCTGACAGGCATTGCCGCGTTATGCTCAGATGTGTTGGGTCGAGTAGACTACGGACATCTTATACACATGCCCGCATCTCAGGAGATGGCATCCACGTCTAGTGCAGCCGCGGCTTCATCATCCCAGACGCAACATGAGAGAGTGGTTCTTCAACCACGACAACGCCGTAGGCGTAGACATGAGCAGCAACATCTCCATGATGAAGCTGATGATGGGAACTTGTAGTTTGTCTTTTGTATTGTAGTTTTTCTAATGCAATAGATGTTGTAGGAACAATTTACAAGTTTTGATGTATTTTCTCTTGTTAAGTATTCTATGTTGTATTGATGTGTTTGAGTATGAATATTACATGATTATTTGTTATGGCATATATGATGATTGAACTGTGTTATACCGGTTATGATTTGAAAGTTTTTTAGCGGTGTTTATAAGGTGTTTTTTATGTTGTTGAGAGTAGGTGATTATCATGTGTTGTATCTAGTTTGTAACACTTCAAAAGGAGAAAGGAGACCTTATTTGTAGCAAACAGATCGGTCTGGATTGAACCGGGGCGAAAAACAAGCTGATTTGGTGTTTTACGTAATAGGCACGATCGTGCCTAAGGAAATAGGCACGATCGTGCGTGGCTGGCAGTAGCTGGTAGCTTGAATCCAAATTTCAGGGCAAAGTCGCCCAACCGTTGGGCGACTTATAAGTCGCCAAACCGTTTGGCGACTTATAAGTCGCCCAACGGTTGGGCGACTTTGCCCTGACCACGGTTAAGCCCCAGCAGTATTTTGGTAAATATTTTTTTCCAGCATTATTTCCGTAAATAATTAATTAATTAACATTAATACGGAAAAAAACTCCATAGACACATACATAAGTATGTGACAAGAGTATTTTAAAAAAAAAGTATGTGACAAGAGTTGTGGGGAGTCAGGATGAACAATAATACTCCATAAAAGAGACACAAAAATCATGAAAAAGTCAAGGCACGGAATAGGCCCGGTACCCACACCGTACATGCACGCAGAAAGAAGCTAGCAACCTTTGGTATCAAGTTTAATTTGAGACACCTAGACCGGCCTCTACATAGAAGTAGATGCTAAGCTTCAGTTTTCAAGCACTCCGAATGTGAAAAGGGAGGATTCTGAATTTGTTGCCCACATTCAACTTCTTCAGTATTGAATAAGTTCCATTTTCCATAACAACAAACCAGCATAAATGAGGCTAAATGATCCAACATATAAGATCGATAAAGCAGAAAAACACACACACACACACACAAAACATGTTTATCAAACCAGCACATACAAACTCGTTGAGATCGAGCGCTCACATAACAAACAATTAGTAGCGTTCTCATCACTGAAATATGAATAGTGAGGATCTGGTTTATGGTAGAGAGGATGGCTGTTCGAGAAAGACGAAGGCACGAAGCTTCGGAGGCGCATCATAAACATCGGGAGGTACAACCACTTCATGGTTATGCCACCCAATGTCATGTTCTCCTTGCAAATGTCCACTGCCTTTGCAGGGCCGTCTTTAGTTGGTTTGGTGCCCTAGACAAAAATTAAAATTACATTTTTATATTAATCAATAATGTTTTACACAATAAATTATATATAGAGTAGTTGATTAAAAACAATAAATGGAAAATGCAATCAAGTATAGAAATTGAAAGATAATCACAAAAAACTCATGTAAATTGAAGCATCACCTTTGAAGTACATAATAGACAAAGGCTACTATTCTTCTTAAATTTTGAAGTGCAAAATTCACCAATAATTCACTAAAATTAAAGGTAAAAAATACATGTTTCTATTGAAAACATAGCTATGCGTCTCATCTATATATCATGTGGCATCATTGAATGGAGATGTTTTCCAGTAATATAGTACTACATAATTGAATGGAGTACTAAATAATAATTACTTGTATTACAAATTTGTGAATATTTCACAATGAATAAATTAAAAGCACGGTTTAAACAAATTAATAAATGAATAATTATATATACTTGTGATCAAAATAAATATTATTTACAACAATGTGACCTCTTATGTATAATGGTTATAATAGTAATTCAGTCATAGTAGCTTATATTCAAATTCTACACTTAAATAACCTTGACATTATATTAAAGTAACTATCAGTCATATTAAGTTTTAAATTACATTTTAAACCGGAATTAAAAAAAACACGTGGGATTTATTCTTTCCATTATTGAATATTAAATTATATTTAATATACTATAGTACGTAATACATAATTACTACTAAAACTGTATTTTTAGAAGAAAACAGATTGAATTTATAGGACCATTATTATCTTCATTGACCTTCAACTTTGTCATTATTGTGTTCCTGCGTACGGTAGTTTGAAGTAATTTAGAAGTTTGATAATTTATGAAATCTTACAGTACAAATAATTCATAGTTACATTACACTACTAGGGTAAACCCGTAGCTATACTTTTTTTATTCAATTATAGTTTCTTTTCCCTTTCTTTAGTGTTACCAAATACTATTATGGGTGTGTGTGTATATGAACTATATCATAATAGTAGTTTTATTTTTTAAAAATGGTGCCCCACATGAGAAAGGTGCCCTAGGCATATGCCTAGGTGCCTCCCCCCTAAAGCCGGGCCTGTGCCTTTGCCTTCGTCCTCTTTCTGAAGACCCTTGGCACAACCGGCGCTGGATAATAGTGGGGCTGGTGGTGGCGGAATGCGAGCCATAGGGATATTTCTCATTTGAGCCCTCTTACCCATCGGCATTCGCCCATGAGCTATACTCGTTACTGAAATCGAACCGCCACCCCCCCGCTCCAATGGTGATACCACTAGCATGTTGTGATCCACTCCCTATCAGAGTCTGACCTGCAGCACCAAAATCAGTGGTGGGCACAAAACTTTTTCGAAGTGGGGCCGTGGATGGACAGGGAACGGGTTTGGTCCTTCCACAATCCCCAAGCAAGTCGAGTTTGAGAGACTCTTGGGCTGGGTTTGTGTTGGAAGCACTTACATCAGTAGATGTGCATTGGGACGCCTTCATCACCCGCTCTGGAGATTTCTGAAGCAATGGGAGATCTTCACATTTGGGTGGCGGTGGCCGTGGTAGTAGCAGCTACCGTACCTTTTTCATTTCCTTCTCTATCTTTCTGCTAACATCACGATCAGTGGCAGGCTCAGAACTTTTCTGAAGTGTGGGCAATGAAGGACAGGGGAAAGGTGTCGTAGAAGTGGATTGGGGAGCCTTCATTACCTGCCGTGGAGATTTCTGAAGCGGTGGCAGATCTCCACCTTTGGGTGGTTGCGGTGGAGGCCTCGGTTGTAGTTTCTGCACCATTTTCTTTTGCTAGCTTCCCCACCGTATTGCTAACACCGCTGGCATCATCTTTGTTACTAGCAAGAGAACCTGCTGCAGCTGCTGTTAGGGACGTTTCCAGCTCAGGTCTCAACCAAATTCACCCACAAAGGATGATAATCTACCACTAGGATCACAAGGGGAGTAGTGGGAAACAACCTACGACCTTAATTCCGGCCAACACTTCCTGCGAACCCACAAAGGAGAGAAGAGGGGTGGACAATTTCTGGGAATATGGTTATTTTGTCCAGCCCTTCCATCGACAGAGAAATGGGAATAAATAGAAGAAGTGAAG